TAGGTGTGAGCTGGGCCGCCTAAGCCATTGGAGGGCCTTGTCCAGGAATGGGACAGCCCTGGCCGGAGCTGCTGTTGGAACTGAAATGGCCTTCACTGTAGAGCCTTTATTCTAACAACATTTAGAAAAAAATTAGTTACTGGAAAAGAAGTCCACAAAAGCCTGTGTGAAAAGGATGAGGATGCTGGGCTGCAGAAGGCTTTCCAGGGGCCTGAGTTCTCTCAGACTATTAAGTTTTCTTGGCTTTACCAAAAAGCCCAGCATCCCGGCCCCCTCCTTTCCTCACCCTGGGGTCGGGGATTGGGCAGGCGCTGCAGCCAGCCCCCGCCCGCAGCCACCACTGAAGCACAGGTGCTGGCCACAGCGCCACCCTTTTCCGGTGAGTCAGCGAGTTTGTCCTGGAGCACCTCTCCCCGGGAGGGCTGAGGTCAGGGGCTGGGGCCTCTGGGGCTGCAGCTTCTCAGGAAGCCAGTGCGCCCATCCAGAGCTTGAGACACACAGATGGCTTCTTTCCCCCCCGCTTTCTCTTTGAAAATGTTTCTAGCACCGAACATGTGTCGCCACAGTGTTCTCTTCACGAGGAAAGAAGCTGTCGTTGCACGCAGTGGAGAGACTGGTTCCAATCCAGCACTGACTGTGGCCTGGTCCATGGTCTCATTATTTGGCAGGCTGGTTACTGGGGCCCTATCCAGGGTATAATCAAGGTCCAAGTGTTTGAGCCTGGGGGAGGGGAGGAAGTGGGCTGTGACCAAGCCTGTCAGGACCACGGAAACATCACTGCCCTCTGGAACCCATCTGCCGTCTGGTGGGGGAGGGTCTGCCCTGACCTGATGGGGGAGCTGAGGCCACCACCACCTGCGGCGCCCCATCCCAGACCCCACTGGAGGGAGGGACCTGGAGCAGCCACTCTGGTTCCATTTTCCTCCCCATGACCAGAGCACCCTCTTCTATGGGTTTACGCAGAACAGCCTCGCACTGTACCCATCGCAGAACCAGTAGTGTCCCTTCCCGGCCTTAGCATGTGTGTGGGACCCTGCTCCTGGCATGCAGTTGATGTGCAGTAAAAGTCCCGTGTTGTACACTGGTGGGTGGGAAGGGCTGATGGAGGAGCCATGTCCAGGGAGACAGGACCTGGCACACTGCAGGGCTCAGATATCTGGGTGAATGAAGAGGAGCCTGGTGAAAGCATAACTTTGCATGAGTGGGGAAATGGCTGGCGCGGGGAGGGCTGCGAAGCGAAGGACGTGGGTAGGCAAATCCTTTACCTGCACAGTGCTTACAGACCATTGCCCCTTTATCAGGGTTTTGTGTGTTTGCAAACATAGCCAGCATATTTAAATGTAAGTGATACTGTGCAGTTTTGAACTGGCCTGTCCCCCAGGAAGGCGTGGTAATGCTTCTTCCTCACCTTCTCTTGGCCCTCCTGGTCTGTAGGAGGGGGTCACCGGTGGCTTTCAGCTTTATCCTGCCACCCCTGCTGGTGGTGACAGCCACTCTTAAATTGTGACCCCTCTCTTGGTATACCCTTGAGCACTGATGGCAGATTTGCTTTGTTAGTAGACAATGTGATGGTAGCCTATCTCTCCTTTACTAAGCTGAGCATCAAATCAAAACCCAGCCAAACCAAGAGCCTCAAGGAACACAGACCTGAGGCTTGACCTGCCCCTGACCCGGGTATCTATCTGGGCTGACCTCACCCATGTTAGACACCCTCCTCCTCCTCTTCCTCCTCGACTGGGCGGGGCTGGGCACCCTCTTCAGTGTGGATCCCTCACCACAGCCTCAGAGTGAGGAAGGCAAAAGAAAAACATAACAAAGGGCCAGGCAGGTAGGCCTTTGGAGAGGGTGCAGCGGGTGCTGACCCCCCATAGGAAACTTGCACCTCACCTCCCTGCACAGCAAGTGTCCTGTGTGTCACTGGCTCACACTCCCAAGAGGGGTTCTTTTCTTCAAATAAGAAATTCTTTGTCTCCTCAGGGTGGCAGATCAGGGCTGGAGAGGCAGCCTGGCTGACTCTGAACGGTGAGCAGGGACGGACCTGGAGTCTAGGAGGGATCCAGAGAGCCTGCATTCGTCCCAGGCACATTTTCGTCCCCTTAAAATGTGTGGTGGCGTGGTTCTGTGTGAGTGAAATATTAGACTGAATGAGGAGTTCCTTCCTCAGAAGAGAAAGCAGGCTCTCTTTTCCTGTCCCTTTGTCTCTCGTCCCCTTTGTCCCAGCCCTCCAGCTCTGTGGCCTCGCCTTCCCCTCCCCCAGCGGTTCCTTCCTTTGTGCCCCGCTGGCCACTCACCAGTGAAACTTAACTCAGTCCAGGCTCTGGTGAGGCAGAAGCAGCCTGGCGGTCCAGGCCAGTGTCTCCACCCCTGGAAGGGAAAGGAACCAATTACCCCAGCCTCCAAAAGGTGGCAGTTGGTTTTGAAGTTTGGTGCTGGCCCTTGGCAGCCTCTTTTGAGGGAGCAGCTTTGTTGGGAGTTTCTGCTCAACTCAGGGGCCTGGAGTGGCCTGAGCCCATCCTGGCCTATGTAGTTCTGGGGCCTTTGTAGTCTAACTTTCTTTTTACCGTGCCTGGCAATGTAGCACACTGAACTCTTTTTTGTTGTTGTTGTTGTTTTTTGAGACAGGGTCTCACTATATAGTTGAGACTGACCTGGAACTCACTATGTATCCCAGGCTGGTGTCCAACTTACAGCGATCCTCCTGCCTCAGCCTCCCTAGTGCTGGGATTACAGGCTTGTGCCACCACACCCAGCTCTTGACTTTCTCTTTTTTGGTACCAGGAATCAAACTCAGATCCTTGTGCTTTCAAGGCAGGCAGTGGAACCCCTGAGCTAACCCCGGCCCATGTTGAGCTCTTAATACAGCCCACACTTCTGAGTATTGAAGCACTCGATGTTTCTTACATGATAGTGTCTTCTCTTTAAGCAGGGTTGACAATTGCTGGAGTGTTAAGCAGAAAATCAGAGGAGAAAAACCAAAAGTTGGGGAAAAATCTATCATGAATTTAAGTTGCTCAAAATATGGGCAGACTGGACTTGATTCAGTTTTTCATGATGAAAATGGGAACTCTGGTGTCTAGTTCCTAACCTGATTGCCAGAAACCTGAGGGGGACAGCTTCGTTGGGTAGTGTGACTAGATACATCTTGTTAGAGTCAGGAGCCCAGACCTGTGGAGGTTCTGTAGAAACTAGTGTGGATTTGCACTGAGCTGAGGCAGACAGGACCATGGTCAGTGATGTGGCTTCATTATTGCTGGAAGTGTTTTCTTCTCTGTCCCCCTTTGATTTATTAATTTAACTACATATATTTATATGATGTTATAGAGGACAATGTGTGAGTTTAGAAACCCTGTCTTCCAATCTCAACTTACGTACAATTTTATTTTGGGACTAAGTGTGCATTTTTGGCATGAGCATCTTTAAATACTGTCACAAAAGCCCCTTTTTCTTTTCTTTGACACCTTTCTAGCATATGTCTTCAACACTCAGCCTGAACTGTTGGAGATGTATTATCTTTTGATTGTCTGCATGATGGCTGTCTCTAGGAATTGTGTCCCCAGCCATGGGAACCCACTGTTAACATTGACACAGTTGCTTTGTGGAAATGTGTCTTGTAGGTGTCCACCACTGGAGATGCCAGCGCTGAGGCTAACTCCTCAGGAGCAAAGACATGGAGGGTTCAGGACCAGGCACTATGTAGGGAGCACTCAGTACATTCACCTTTGGAAGCCTGGCTGGTTGGAGCGCTAGTAGCCTTGAGGGCTTATCAGGCAAGTCCTGGAGGCAGAGCTGGCTGGAAAGCCAGGAGCACAGTGGCTTTCATTTTGGGTGTGAGAGTGGGGGAAGCATTCCATCCCAGAGAAAAGGGTTGTGCTCTCAGTAGTGGCCCATTTATGGATTGCCCACCTTTTCAATGTGGTACTTGGGACCTGAGACCCGCCCTCTGGCATCAGAGTGGAATGTTCCCAGTACCCTTGCTTTGAGGACTGGTGTGGAAAGGACTCAGAATGCATTTAGGCTTTGTCTTTCGTTAAATACTACTTTTGTTTCAGAACACAAGAGCTTCACTGGAGTTGTAACAGAGATGCCAGGTTCTGTGTGGCTGCCATCATTGTCATAGCTGTCGTTAGCCACGGGGTGACAGGTGGCACTCACGCCCTCCCTGCTTCTCAGTTGGGATGGGAACTTCTGAGGTGGACATCGGCAAAGGTGTGTGTCGAGGGTGTCCAGATTGATGGGACAGATTTGCATCGCCGTTTGTAAATAAGTGCTGCTTTGAATACCCACCTTAGGTGCGCCTGTGGTGGAGGAGCTGGGATTCCCAATTTAGATGTTTGATGTAATTTGAAACTGAAACGATCAAAAGTATATCTCTTGAGAAAAGTAGGGGCGTAAGAGCCCCCGTGCCTGAAATTGTCACCTGGCTGTGACTTTCCATGTGGTTCTCAGGAGTCCAGACTAATGTGGAGGGCTTGGTCTCAGAGCTGGTTTTTCCTTCAGGTTATTGCACTGCAGTGAGAGAACTAGTGAGATAAAGTCAAACAAGTGGTGTGTTCAGTTACATTCTGATTCTGAAGCTAAAAGCTGCCTCCTCCTTCCAGCTGTGAACTCCCTGTCCTGATTAACCACTGCTGAGCCCAGAGGGGGAGCCCTGCAGTTGGCCCGGAGCGCATCTTTGGCAGGGTCGTGTGTCTCAGAGATGGGCGTGGTCTCCAAAATGAACTGGGTGTAGTGATGGGCTGTGGAGTGGGTTCAAGCTAATCTGAACTTCACTGAGACCCATCCCCATAAAAGATTATGTGGACTCAAGAACTTGAGGAAGGACCCCGGACAAGGGCTGGATTTCTTCTCTGAATGGCCAAGGCCTCAGGGTTGTGCACATACACACACACACACACACACACACACACACACAAACACACACACTGTGTATGTGTGTGAGAAACCATGGGGGAGGGGGTCCCAAGACTGGATGGTGGGGGAGGGGTCATTTGCATAACTGATTGTTGCTCCTGAGGATGAGAGAGGCCAGCACAAAGGCCCTTTCCTTCCCTCTCCTCTCCCTGCCCCCTCCTCTCCCCTGCCCTCCTTCTGTCTCTCTCCCTCGCCTTCCTGTCTCTCCTTCCCCTGCCTGGCCTCAGCCTGGTCAGCACCACCTTGTGGCCCACTGCTTAGCTGTTGGCCTTGCTCCTGCCTCCCTTCGGGGCTGCCCAGTGCCTCGCCCAGTGGTAGGCAGGCCACCCACAGCCCTCCTGGCGAGTGGTGATAAAGCCCAGAGGAGGCTCTGGCTGTGTCTCTCCCAAAACTGGTGCTTTACATTTTCTCTCTGCACACCCAGGTGCTTGGCCATCTCTTGCCCCTGGAGTCCAGAGGCTACCTCTCATGGCGGTCCTTTCAGGTGCTTTTTTGGGTTCTCTCTCCTGGGGCCACAGAACCAAGGGCAGCTGCTGGAAATGGAGTGTCCGGAGCAGCAGTGGCTGCAGCCTGGTGGGAGAGTGGGAATGAGACAGAGGTGCTGGTGGGCTAGGCAGTCGGGAGCATCTTGTCACCTGCACACCCTCAGTATTGCCATCTTGTTGTCTGGTAACTAAATGAATGCATAGACGGATGTCTATGCTGTGTTCCCTCAAACAGGAAGAAGTGTGCCCTCCCTGGCTCATCATCTACCTCTGGGCTTTTCACGCTGCGCTGTTCTCCATCTGTAAGGTGGTGGTAACATGCCTTGCTCAGGCTGTCTGTGATTATTGCTGTTGTGCTGAGCATGTTGAGCTCTGCCCAGAGGGTCTTGCCCACATCTGGGGACTGGGCCAGTCCTCAACCCCACCTGCTGGCCAGTGGAGTAGGAGGTGGGGAACAGCAGCTAGTGGAGGCTCCTCTGCTGCTCTGCTTGGCTCCTCACAGGGCAGGGTTATGTTTGTTTGTTTTTTGGTACCAGCGATCGAACTTGGGTCCTTGCATTTGCAAGGCAGACAGTGGAAGCACTGAGCTAAATCCCCGGCCATAGGGCGGGCAGGGTTATGTTTGGAGATGAGCCCTGCAGGGCGGGCTGGGAGGGATGCTGCTGTGCGTACCTTCCCAGGGTGCCCTGGCCTCCTACCTTCCTGACTTGTGCTTCACTGTATTTCTTTGAAAAGCAAAATGAGGACTAGAAGATAGTTTTGAGTAAGCCCCTGCCTGCTGTTCGGTTGGATCGCATAGCATCGGTGTTTTAGACTTCCCAATTCCCTAGGTAGTTCCCTAGTTAGTTTCCTAGGAGCCAGGGCTGGCGAGTGTCTGTTGGCCTTGCATTCTGTCCTCTGCCAAGTTCGGTGAGGACTGAGGGAGGAAAGGATGGACGTGCTTCTGAGCCACACGGGCTTATTCATTACTTCACTTCTGCGCTTGTGAAGTGGGGACGATGTTGGGCAGTGTCAGCCCGCATCACAGGGTGATTGAGGTGCTTTGTGAACAGACTTCACTCTGGAAAAGACTGATAACCCCAGAGAGGCTTGGATAGGTTACAGGCTTATGGGTTGGGGGTCCTGGGCCAGGTGTGCCTGAAGGAATTGATGATGCCCCTTTGTGGCTGGATGGAGAGATTAATGACAAATGAAAAAGGTAGGCTTTCCTGGAGGCCATATGCCCTTTAAGTAGCTGTGAGAGCCAGGCTTCCGTGTGTCTCTCCCCGCAACTTCCCTGGTCTCCAGACACTAGGGCTGTGAACCACTTGCCCTCTGTGTCCAGCCACAAGCACCCCCCTCCCCGCCCAGTACCTTTCCAGCACAGTCTGTCTCCCCAAGCCTGGTGTCAGCCTGGCTGCTCCCATACAAACCCACTTCGACCCTCTCCAGTGCCCACTCCCTCATGAGCCCTCAGTGAACTTTTCTTAGGAATTCCTGTGCACCAGCTCTCTGGGAAGCATTGGAACAGCCTGCCTTTCCTGTAGAGCAGGATGATGGCAGGAAGTCGCAGCAACTGTAGCCCTAGGGTCCAGATCACATTGCTAGAATGGAATGGTCAGAACCCGCATCTCTAGGGAAGCCCAGGGCCTCTGCTCAGACACCCATGTGCACTGCTCTGGGTGTGAGTAGGGAGGAGTGGGGTTTCTGTTGAGCTGGATCGTGGACAGGCATTCCTGTTCTCCAAAAACAACCCTTTGCTCACCCACCCACCTAAGCGCATCCAGGCTATCACCAGAGGCCCAAAGTGGCTGGATTCCAAGTAGAATCATGAAGGGCAACACCTGTTTTTTAAAGACAAGGGAACTGAGTTCTGAGCAGGGAGAGGCCACCCTGATTGATGGAAAGGGGCCCCAGTGGCTGTTGAAAAATTTCCTTCAGCCTCAGCAGCGGGCTGGTAGGTCTCACCTTGCTCCAAGGCTGTTGCCATTAGCAACCTACTTCCCCTGGTGGTTCTGGGGGCCCTCAAGGGGAAGAGGGAGGAAGATGGAAGTCAGGCTGTCAGTCAGGTGGCAGTTGAGTGCCTGTGTCAGGGGGTTAGTGCTGATGACACTGGGAGGAGCGCCCGGGCATATCAGAGCCATCCATGCACAAGCTTGTTAGTTTGTTATTGATTATTCCCAGCCATGGGGAAATTATATGTAGGGACATCCTACTTGGTGCAAAAACCTGCCTCCCTCCTCTTAAAAAAGAATAGAAAAGGCAGAAAAGTAAAGAGAAAGTGGCTGACTAGGCAGTGGAGTCTACTGCGGTACTTTACTTTTGTCCTGGCTCAGTTGATTTCTAGCTGTGTGGTTTGGGTTAATCACCAAGCCCTTCTGGGCTCCAATTTACCCATCATAGACAGGAGGTCTAGGAGAGGTGCCCATTGGCTGCCACCCACCACTTGCTGGGTCTGATGCTCCTGAGCACTGTCAGGGTCGCTGGTATAAGCAGAGTTGGAAACCTGCAGCTGGAGGGTTCCCAGTTGCTTGGTTACCAGTTGTGCAGTGGTGTCCAGATCTTGCTGGAAGTGTGGCACACCAAGGACATAGAGTTGAGTGAGGGCTCTGTTGACTGTGGTCTGGAAAGGTAGACTGATTGACATAGCAGGTTATGGTCAGCACCAGGAGGGGACATGGGCAGCATCTGAGGGTTGCCCAGAGAGAGGGGAGTTGCTGGCTGCTTCTGGGGCTGAAAGGGCTTCCCAGAGAGGGCCTTGAAGAAGGAGTGGGAAAGAGAAAATAGAGGCCAAGGTACACCCCGGGGAGGTGCAGATGCTGGTCTGGGAGGATTGCGGCCAGTGAGTATTGATAGTGGCTGATGTCTAAAGGGTTTCTTCTCTCCGGGATTTGAAGTAATTTAATCCTCACACCCAACTCGGAGGGGCAGGTGTTATCCATTTTCAACCAGAAAACAAAGCCACAGAGAAGTGAGGAGTTCACTGCAGCACGGTAGACCCAGCCTTCAACCCCCCAGAGTCAGGCTGCAGATGCCGGGCACATGTGTAGCCACTGGAGTCACTGTTTTGCCCAACAGGAACCCAGGTCTGGTTGTTGAGCTGTGCTCATGAACTTGGTGGTGGGGGGGCGTTGGGCAGTTCAGTGAGTTCCCCTTTCCTCAGTTTCCTCATCCGAAAAGTGAGTATAACCCACTTGAGGTGGGTCTGTGAAATGAGGTGAGGTTTTTGGCTGGATTTGCTATGCAGGGTACGCTCAGAGCATGCTTCCAGGTGTGGGCAGCTGCATTGGTAGTGGCTGCAGGTAGAAAGGTGTTGAATCTGACAGCAGCCACTCCCCTGCCCCCACCTTACTGTCTGTGTTTCAGAGGCCAGGCTTGTTAGACTTGGGCAGGATTAGATAAAATGTGGGCAGACTGCCTGGCACAGCACTGGCACGTGCACAGCCCTTGAAAGCAGTAGTCGTTTTCATTATTGTATCTTATCTCTCTGTATTAGTAGTTACTATGATGGTTCTCTCATCAGTCTTACAGGTGAGTGTAGCCTCACTTTATGGAAGTGGAATCAGCTTGGAGGGTGGATTGTGTGTCCAGAGTCTCAATAATAGGTGAGATACATTGAAACACCAAGTTGGGTGTGACACCAGTTCCTAAACTCCTGTGTCATGTCACAGGAAGGCTCCAGCAGGCTGTCCCTGTGCACTGTAAAACAGGGAATAACATCGCCCAAGGCTTCCTCGAAGACAGCCTTCCACAGCGAGCCAGTTGTGCCAAGCCAGACTTGTGCAAGTGCAGACAGTGTTTGCACATGCTGTCTCTCACTTGCCTTGAGTGGACTTGTGTGTCTGTTCTCCTAGTGATGTAGTTTTCCTCTGTGCTCTGGTGCATCCATGCACCCAAACCTGATCTCAGCTCTGAACTTAGTCTTGTAGGAACATGCGGTCCTATGCCGAAAATGTGGACAGTGCCCTGTGGTTATGAAAGCTAAGCAGTGGAAGACAGACCCATAGCCTTGGGCTTGCCTGGAGACCCTGTCCTGTGGCCCTTCCCTTAGGCAGTATCCCCTTGGAGTGGACTCCTGGCAGCGGTACCAGTGCTCTTCTCCCACCCCACCACCTCTGGCAAGAGCAGGTTGGCCCTGTCATTTCACTTACGGGGCCCATTTGGTGGGATTTGAGTGTTCAGGTCTCTGGACCATGTGGGCCCATGGCCCTGTGCTGAGCAACACTGGGGAGAACTACTGAAGACACAGGATTCCTTTATTCTGTGTGACAGAGATTAGAGGACCAGGCCTTGAGTCTGTTCCCAGCTTTAGAATTGAGCCAAGTCATGCTGAGGGCTTCCACCACTCACAACCACCATGCTCGTGCTAATTCTTTGTTGATTTGGAAGCCTCTTCACCATTGTGTAGTGCCTCGGGGCCACTCTTGTGGAGAAGGACTATAATCCCTTAAATATAATAACCCCCTGCTCTGGATGCTTTACAGAACGGCCTCCTGTACACAGGCTCGCTGGCACCCTCCAGCAGTCCTGGGGGAGTGACAGACAAGGCTTATTATCCTGTTTTGTTGATGAAAAGGCAGGTGGCTTTAGTGACTTTCTAAAGTCACATGTCCAGTATGTGATGAAGCTGAGAGTAAAAATCCAATCTGAAGGCCAGCATAGGACAGATGGTAAATGCTTGGCACACTCTGACATTCTCTCTTGCTCACGTCAGACACTAAAGTTGGTCGCAGTAACTCTTTTCCTGCTGACTTTGGGGTTCATAATTATTTTCCATATAGCATTCCACTTCAGCCTCTGTCAGATAACACTAGATGAATTTATTGTCGTCAGTGCAACACTCTGGGCTAGAATTTGGCCAGTGATGTTGTCTGCGTTTCCGGGTTGTTTGGATTCCCAGGTGAGTGCAAGTTGCATGCAGACTCTAAGTGATTATGGTTGGAAGCCCTGTATCTGTCTGACAGAGCCAGCTGCCATCTTCCAGGAAGGCCCTGGGGCGATGGAGAGTGTACCCAGGATA